GAAGAATGACAAACTTACGACCGTACTGTCAAGTAGTGTATCTTCAAGTCGATAAGATATATGGCATAATGTTTTATCATATGCAGAGAGTTACACCATAGATGGTACGGGCGTTTCTGTAATAGTTTTATATGAAGCCTACTATGGTGTAAGCCGCATAGACCTGTTTAGTGCTCCATCTTTTGAAGATTATTACCGTTATGTACCGAATGGTGTTCCTAGATCAACATGCCTGTCTCTGAAGTGTCATTATGTGAAGGGTCTGGATTTAAGTTTAATGGTCCAATTATATCAAGTACGGGATTGTACAACCCCTAACAAATGTTAGGGAGACCAATGTTTCCATAGTACAATCGTGCCAGGAGTACTATGATGTGAACCGTACATCTGTGTGTGAAATATTGATATTTCACGAGTGTCATTTAGAGAGGACTATCTCGTCCAGTGTATGGATATGGCAGCGGAGCAATTGCATGCACAATACGGATGTGTATGGATTTTCAATGGTCATGATTACAGAAGTTGTCGTAGTATCGTTATATGAATGTACTAATGGTTGAGCTGTGGTAATATTTGTTGTCCATTGTATTCTGAATAGAATACGTCCGTGGGAAGTATGGATAATCTGGAGCAGTAATTTGTGAGTATACTCCTATGTACGTAGTACTGTCGTTTAGGAAGTAGAGTTGTGCGCACATTATGGATGTGCCTGAAGCACGATTATGTGAAGAGTCTAAACTTCGAGGCCCAGCATTTCCGACTTTATTATACAAAGAACACTACTGTTACGGACTGTTAGCAGTCCCTGAAGTATTATTATATTAAGAGTGGTGCAATGCGTAAAACTCCATGACTTTAACAGCATCGCTATAACAAGTGTACCGATGTCATTATATTACGCCTGTGTCAGAATAAATTGTTAGCTTCGAGTGTTGCTATTCCCAGAGTACTATCATGTGAATAGTCTGGATGTCTTCCGAGTATTCATATGGGACGAATAACAATGTGGGGATGAATACTAATGTGGCCGCTGTACTATGATTTAAATAGTATTGAAATACAGGGGATATCATTATTTCAACCGTGTATGTGTGTCTCAGGAATAGTATTATATGAATGACACCAAGAGATGAAGTTGACAGATATACGTGTCGTAGTTTTATATAAGGAACACAACTGGGTAAATTGTTGGAACATGTCGAGAGTCTCCAGGCCTGTGAAGTATAGAGCTGTACCAACAGTAGTATTATATGCGCGTTCATGGATTATACTACTATTGTAAGGACTAAATCCTTTGAACCCTGCACACCCCCAGGGACACACTTATTTGAGCAGCAACAATATAACTCTGGTGATTCAGTGTGGATGGCGCCAATAGATGAAGAGTGCCATTCTGTGAAGTCCACCAACATTTTGAATGAAGTACGATGTGAAATCTAGGGGTATCCTGGGGGATTGTTATCTGAAGGGTTCCATTGCGCCAGCAGTGCCCTTATTTCAGGAGCACATCTGCGTAAAGGGTAAGGATATCCTTCAGTATTACTGTATATGGAACGTACCCAGGTGTCTGTAGTACTTATATGTTGAGAGTAGTAACACCCTTATTCTATTGGTATTTGAACACAGAATATACACTTGGGGTACCATTACTTGTACAATACTGGTGTGGATTTTCCTTGGTAGGGAGGCGCGGGGTTATACGTGTACTATTATTATGTCAGGAGTACAGTCGTCCATGTACTAGTGTATGTGAAAGATTCCGAGCTTATGCTTTCATTATATGAATAGCAGTTTCCTGTGAAGTCCATACATATTCCAGTATAACTATTGTCAAGAACCTACTGATGCCTGTAGATGCACAATGCTGAGGAGTCCAGAAGTCCCCATAGTACTGTTCTATGAAAGTATTAATAGTGGATCTATATGGATCACCTGGAGTGCTATTATACAGACGGAAGCATGATGTCTCAAGTGTTTTGCCTTTATGAGTAAAATTACCCTTGGAGTACGATTCTTTGATAGAGTACGTTAATACAAGAAGTACCCTCCTGTTTACAGTAGTGTTGTGTGGATAATACTTCCATTTGAACAGGATATTTGCTGAAGGAGTATTCATGACTTGGAATACTGTTATAGGGAAACTACAGAGGTATGTATAGTACTCCTATCTAAGGATGCCTGATATGGCTGGTACAACGACATTTGATGAGTGGCAAAGTTAATCCCGTATTATTAAGTAAGGTAAGGGGGTGTGTAGAATTCATGACTTAGGTTTGTGCCGTATGAGGAGGGCAAACCGTTACGCAACGTGTGGAAGTTGTCATAGTACCTCCGTATAGAGGGAACCTTTGTGTAGGAAACATGAATGTGTGAATTCCACGATTACTTGAAGAACAATGATGTTATGTACAGAATAGTTTGTCCTGATGAGTACAGCTGTCCTTGGAATAGCATTATTTGAAGGTTCTTCATGTTGGTATAATGCCTGGATGATATGACTTGAGCGATTCTGCAGATCCCACAGGTGGCCTCGAATCGTATTGTCTAAACAGTAGAGCTATGCCAGGCCTACTATAATTTTAACCGTATTATAGTGTCAAGAATGCTGATTTTCGAGGGGTGTCATTATTTGTAGGGTAATATTCTATGAAGTGCATGCATATTCTACAAGGGTAGTTGACAAGGAAGTATACATGTGTCCCCATTTCCCATGTTGACGAATGCGGAGATTCTTGTAGTACTGTTATATCAATGTATTAATGGTTGAACTATGCTGATATCTGCAAAGTACTGTCCATTTAGGGGAATAATTGTATAAAACGTACGGATGATCTGCGGCGCAGTCTTGTGAGTGTACTCCTATCTCCCTAGTGTGATGTCTTGGAGTGCACAATTGTGGTGGGATTCTGGATACCCCCATGCACAATTATTAAAATAGGTGGAACCTCATGGTCTACTGTTTAGGCTTCTATTATAGGGAAAGCACCCTATTCCGGAATTAATAGCACTCCCTGGAGTGTTATTATATTAAGAGCCGTATAATGTGTGGAACTGCATGATTGGAGGAGTAGCGCCCGAGCAAGTGTACACATGTGCGTGAAGGAGTATTGTCTAAGAATTACTTATTCGCTCCCACTGGTAACATTCCCAGAGTACTATTATGTGTATAGTGCGGATGTGTGCGAAAAATTGATATGTTATGAATAGAATTGTGAGGTGAATACTACTGTACTGGGAGTACTATGATTTAAAGTGTATAAACATGCATGCCGTATCATTATCTTTATCCGTCGTCCCTGGCAAGGATGGTAATGTATAAGTGACTCCATTGTAAGAAGTAGACGAATATACTGGGTGTATTATTATAGGAAAGGTATGATGATATAAACAGTACACATGTGTCTAAAGTGTCAATGCTGGTAAAGAATACAGCTGTATCAGAAATATTATTGTATAGGTTAAGCGGTTATGTTGTTATTGTAGGCAAGGGAAAATATTTTATAACTAACACAAAGGTTGTAGCACATTCATTTGAAAGAAATTATTGTCCCTGCACTCATGTGATATCTAGAGAGCAGGGAAAATGAGAAGTGGCATTCTGTGGAGTGCAATGATATTCAAAATACAGTATTGTATGAGGGCTACGGATATTCTCAAGAACCATCCTTTGAAAGATAAGGATTTTCCTACAATATGCCCTTCGAAAATGCAAAAGTGTGT